CCCAAGTAGCTGAAAATGCCCACCCATGGTGAACAGCACAGACTCTTTCTCGCACGTCGTCAAATGGCGGCGAACAATGTCATTACGTCATGATATCCCGTGATGCTTTGCGATTAGAGCTTTGTACACGTGCGCCACCTAGCGATAAGCATAGGAAATACTGCATAAGGTAAATGATATACCCAAATAGTTCGTGTGAGGTATAATTGGGATTATCCTTCATGGTAAGTACAATTTGCCTAATCCTCAATTATAAGATATGCTACCTACTTTTTGGTTTGATCCATGTTGATACTAGTCTTAAGATAATGAGGAAAATGACGTGTTTTCAGACTGTTAAAAGTAAACCATAGTTACACCTGTTTAACTTCAATGTGTTTCCTGCAGGACTTCCAGGAGTACCACAGTCGGGAGTATGATCGTATGGAGAAGTGTTGTGACGAGGCAGATGCTGAGCTGGCAGAGGCCAAACAGGAGCTCAAACAACTCAAGGTACATGTAGGAACAGAAATGGGGTTTTAGTACATTTGTACAAAGGGAGCTAGAAAGCAAGGATACAAGATTGGGACATGTCAGAGGATTCCAACCCAGTACCTCCTACCTGGGTCTTAGGCCAAACACCATAACAACTATGTTACAGGATGCAACAACATAGTTTGACAGTGTTGATGTTGGTCCTGTTGTTACAGGAGGCAGCTGCATCCCAGCAGACAACAAGACATCACCAAGATGAGGAGGTGGTCACCCTCAAGGCTAAGATCACATCTCTGACAGAACAGGCGGAGAAATCACAAAAGGACTTACAGGTAGGTTACTCTGTTACACTGAATAGAAAGATTTGGTTTAGTCTGTAATCAAGGTTAACAAAAATTAAGTTAAAAAGGGACCATTTTGTAGAAGCTGTAGTAGTCTGTCATTTACTTAGAAACACCTTTTTTCTCCTACCATGTTCAGGACCAACTAGAGAAGGAGACTGCAGAGGTGCAGGATCTTAAAAAGAGCCTGGAGGTAAAACACTGCATGGACTCTGCTGTTTATCAGAAATTCTACATATTTGTCAAATGTTAAGTAAATGTCAAGATTATAAGATATGCTACCTACTTTTTGGTTTCATCTATTTTGATACTAGTCTTAAGATAATGAGGAAAATGACGTGTTTTTGGACTGTTAAAAGTAAACCATAGTTACACCTGTTTAACTTCAATATGTTTCCTGCAGGACTTCCAGGAGTACCACAGTCGGGAGTATGATCGTATGGAGAAGTGTTGTGACGAGGCAGATGCTGAGCTGGCAGAGGCTAAACAGGAGCTCAAACAACTTAAGGTACATGTAGGAACAGAAATGGGGTTTTAGTACATTTGTACAAAGGGAGCTAGAAAGCAAGGATACAAGATTGGGACATGTCAGAGGATTCCAACCCAGTACCTCCTACCTGGGTCTTAGGCCAAACACCATGATAACAACTATGTTACAGGATGCAACAACATAGTTTGACAGTGTTGTGTGATGTTGATCCTGTTTTGACATCTCTACAGGAGGCAGCTGCATCCCAGCAGACAACAAGACAGCATCAAGACAACGAGGTGGAAACCCTCAAGGCTAGGATCACAGCTCTGACAGAACAGGCGGAGAAATCACAAAAGGACTTACAGGTAGGTTACTCTGATACATACAATTCATAAGCCTGTAATTAAGCTAAACAAAAATAGAAAAAAAAAGATGGGAGCAAAAGCTGTTACTTCAGCTAGAGTTCACACTTCCTCTTACTGTTGTAAGATGTGGGGTCCTTCTGTAAGTGCAATGCAAAAGATGATCATTGCCTTACAGTGTGAAAAGAGAACAGAGTGGTATGTGTCTGCAACAAATTCACAGTTAGGTTGTTAGATTACCAAACATTTGGGTAGCTGCCCAGTTGAGTTAAGCCATAATTCCATGGCCTCTTAACCTTCTCCCTGCTGCGTAACTCTGACCAATACAAATTTGATGCTGAAAGGCTACTTCAGCAGGAGAAGGTTAAAGAAGTGACCAATTTTCATTAAGAATTGCCGTACAAGTTTGTCATTAACTACAACCTCCCTGTTTCCCTTTTTCCTCTCCTACCATCTTCAGAATCGACTAGAGAAGGAGACTGCAGAGGTGCAGGATCTTAAACAGAGGCTGGAGGTAAAACAAAAATACACAGTAACTCATGGACTCTGCTGTTAATCACAATTCTATATATTTGTCAAATGTACAAAAATTTCAAGATCATAAGGTATACTCTATCTTGATACTAGTCTTGAAGAAAATGAGGAATATGACCTGTTTTTAGACAGTCAGAGTAAAACATAGTTACTCCTGGTGTAAGTCTGATCGAGTTTATTTGATATGTTTCCTGCAGGACTTCCAGGAGTACCACAGTCGGGAGTATGATCGTATGGAGAAGTGTTGTGACGAGGCAGATGCTGAGCTGGCAGAGGCCAAACAGGAGCTCAAACAACTTAAGGTAAGATTGTGGACCAGGAATGATAGTGCTGAGATGATACATAAACTGTTTGACTATCTACAGTAGTTTAGGAGAGAAAAAAGGCATTGAGTGGGCGCAGAGATTGATAAAGAAGATAACAATTTCAGGTTATGGTTGGCCTAAGTTGACCTAAATTGTTCTGTTTCTTTTAGGAGTCTATGGTCCATCCCAGCAGTTCCCAGGAAGCACAGGGTTACAGGGCCAGGTTTGCTGCCCTCCAGCAGTCTGCTGTGCAAGAGAAAGAAACATTACAACATGAGAACAAGTCACTAAAGGTATGGTTACAGTACTGGGACACAAGAGCACTTTGTCATATCATTAGCAAGTCAAACATGAAAAAAAACTTCTTAATACCAAAAAGTACTGTCTATTTGATGTCAAATTGGCCCAAATGGTCGCCTCTTTTAGCCAGACTGGCAGTCACGTGGATGTAACTACCACCTTTTCCTGGTCCTCAATGTTTTTTCAATCGTTGCAAGAATTAATCAACCTGCCCAAGAAGACCTCTTTACCCTGGTCCCCTGGGTGGCCTTCTTGTGTAAGTTTATAATAATTCATAAGTCATAATTGGCTTTGTTTTGTGACATACAATGCTATATTGCATGTATCAGACCATGTTGTTTTCTGTGCTCCCACATGTGCAGTTGGAGCTGGCCTCATTCAAAATGCAGGTTGCAGGTCTCCAGCACGACATGAAGATTGCAGTGGATCCTTTCAAAAAGAGGTTGGTGGGCTGCTGTTTCCTGTAATCTGTGCAAAATGATATTTTTATCAAAGGTGATGTTTTGAGCTGTGTCTCAGAAGTTCACTTTCTACAGGCCAACTGTGTTTCTCTAACCTTCCCCAACCTCTCTCCACCTGTTGTTTAGGTGCAGAGTGCTTGAAGAAGACAACTTGAAACTCCGGCAAGATGTTCGAGACAGAGAAAACGAGATTCGACGTCTCCGACAGAATATGGATGAGAGCTGTGAGTTGCAGTTCAATCTCCCTTTATTTGCTAGTTTTTAGGCTTGACTTTTGCATCTGTTCAGAAAGCAGCAAATTTTTGACGCATTACAATTGGAAATCTTGGATGATAAGGAATTTTTGCAACAGCGCTTTTTAGACGAAATAAAGAAAGATATGTCCTTCATTCTGCAGTCCAACAGCCGAAGGAGCCAGCTCTGTACAGCAGCGGGTCAGGGATAGTGAACAGCACGGCTGTGTACATCCTGGAGGCTGAGAAGTCCAGGCTGAACGCCAAGGTCAAGCAGCTGACCGCCCAAGTCCAGAAACTGACCCAGGCTCTGGACAGCAGTAAGACTGAAGGCACTGACATGAGGTAAGGGCTCTCCTGTTACCGCGAAAATATAGTTTCTTGAACATCTCAATTTTTGGTTTCAAATTGGTTTTTCTTAAATGCCAACGATCATGATAATGATCATTCTGGCATACTTATTTTCACTTGAGCAAAGTGAGGAAAGTCGTATAAAGTGCCTTTCCCAAGGGTAAAAGATAGGTGACTTGGCAGGACTCGAATTCGGGACCTCTGAGCCGAATGCTCTGCCATTACGCCACACAACCCGATGAGGACTGTTAAATTTTGCTACCATGGACATAATATCTTGTAATTTTTTTTGTCCCAGACGACAGTTAGAGGAGGCTGTACGAGAGAAAAAGTGCCTGGAAGAGCACATCAGCCACCTGCGTCGCCGACACACGAGTGAGCAGAACCCGAGGGAACAGACAAGTGCAGTGCCTGGGCCTGTGGCAAGGGCCATGCTAGAAGGTACATTCTACATGGTCATGCCTGCCTGACAACATTTTTACTTGCTGTAATACACTCTTCCAATAGTCCCACCCACCTCTGTCAAAATGCAGAAATGCAAATTTAAATAAAAATCAAAGTGCAACTTTTTGACAAACATGCATCAACTCTCTCATTGGTCAATCTATTTATCTTTCATTTGCTGTACTGACTGCTGCTAATTGTGATTGACAGTCAGGTTACTACAGCAGGCCCATGATGTTCCTAAACCCAAGACCGAGTACTTAGCTTTGTTGGGCAGCTCGTACCTTCCTCTCCATTTTGTGTTTGCTTTGAGTAAAACCACTATGTGTTCTCCTGTGTTCTGTTTTTTTTTCTCCTACATCCTTTGTGACTTTATACCAGTATGTGGGAATTTGTCAGAAAAAAATAAGATTAAATTTGATATGGGCCTCCTAGTGGATTGCTATGGCATTGCAGCAGTACTTCTGAGTAAAAGTGGCAGTAAAACATTCTCCTGTGTTGTTTTTTCTCCTACATGTTTTCATGTTTGGTGACTGTGCTCTAATCTTCCCCCAGGTCTCCAGAGCAGTCCCAGTAAGATGGGGAGTCCGCGGCTGCCGCTGAGCCCCGCCCGTGTGGGGACGGTGAGTCAGGCCAGCGGAGCGGCCGGCATCGCTCAGCGAGCGCAGACGGGCGATAACTGGATGGAGCTGTTCGATTACGGAGAGGAGGACAAAGAGATGCAAAAGGATAATCCTAACTGTAAAGTCAGTTAAACGTAAACCCTATGTACAGCAAGGGTCACTGATATGCAAATGCCTTATAGGATAGACACATATACATCTATCTTGTCTATCCCTATCTATCTGTTCATGTTCAAGCTCATGTACTTTACCTATACAGCAAATAGGAGTATACAATCCTGTATCTCAGATGTAAATAAATTACTAAAGTCTTATAATTTTCACCTCCGAGACTGTACAGTTCTATTCTGTAAGCCGATTCTGTCTTTTATTTGGTGATTTGAAGAATGCTTTTTAGTAGTATGTAGCTAAAGTTGTAGCTTAGAAAAGGATTTCTGTAGCATATTGTTTTAATTGTGGATGATCATTAATACACCCATTGCTGAATGATACAGAAAATAAAGAAATATATCAGCCTATTGTTTATATCAGATGCAAATAGTCTTATTATATTATAATGCTTACTCCCAAAACTGTACACTTCAGTTAAGTATCCCTATTTGCTATTTTGTGCTCTGTAGTTTTATTGCTTGGTTGAAGTTTTAATATTAAATAAAGCTTTTGATACCATGCGGAAGTGCTTTTGTTGTATATGTGTGAATGATTGATGATTGTAACATTCCCAGTAAAACAGATATGGAAAGAATTATGAGAAAAAATATTCATGTGGGGGTTGTGAGGGGCCAGTCTTACTTGATGATAATATTGATACCTGATCAAGTGATCAATTTCACCATGGAACCTTCTGGAAGTTCTGCTGCAGTACCAAGGCAAGCTGCCTGGGGCCCAAAATCTAATCATTTCTAAATGTAGGCCTCATCAATGCCTATCCACTAACCAAGTTTCATAACAATACATCTACATTTTGTAGAGCTTCTTGAGTTATTGTGCTAAACCACATAGGCACACACACAAATGCTACGGAAAATAAAACTTTAGTGAAGGTAAAAAAATAATCTAGGTCTGTATAGCAGGCTATGCTACTCTTCTATGCTACTTTTACGTTACACTCTACGTTTGACATGTTCACGAAAACCTATGGCCAAAACACTTCCCAGATCCCTGCATCTATATTTCTGGCACATACATTGTATTTCCTTGGTCAGATTCTTTCCTCTGAAACCTGGCATTTGTATTGCTATAAATGCCAGTTTTGGGAAACATAGCAAGTCTGACTGTTTGTGACACTTGTGTTGAAATTGCCATTGATCAAAAACGCCCCTCAGCGGCCAATAAAATCACTGCAGTAATAGGTGCAGCAATTTCAGGCACCTGATGTTCAACGCGCTGAAGATATGTTGAATTCGCCTTGGATCAAAAACGCCTCGTTGCGGCGAAGTGAATCACTGCAAGAATAGCAGCAAGTTAGCCAACATTTAAAACGAACCATTTCTTTCACTACTTCCAGACAGCAAGAAATCCTGTTTAGACTACTACTAATATACTCTGACGCATATTTCCTCGGTCAGATTCTTTCCTCTGAATCGCTCTCGTCCATTCCTATCGCCATTAATTGTCAATTTAGGAAAACACGCAGCAAATCTTAGACACTGTTAAAAGCCTGAACCGTTGAAATCGTCATGGATCAAAAGCGCCCCGTAGCGGCGAAAAAATCACTGCATTTGTATTCATAGTGTACATTATGGTGCAGTCCTTTATTGAACTGATAGAGGCCGCTTTTGATCCATGCACTGCACCGTCGTCACTTGTCAGCAGTAGTGTGAATCTGTAGCCTGGTACCCAGTCCTATCGTGGATTGAGTGGACTCTCTTCGGGGGAGTTTTGAGCGATTGGCGTTAAGTTCCCGGCACAAAACTCTAGGCTTCGGCGCCGCAACCTGTATATTTTATTGTGGGACCGATTTTCATTGATCTATCTCTTAGGTTTAAGTCGATTTGTCAAATACATAACTAGATACAAAGAATGACTCATTTTACATTTAAGAATACATTGTTTTTGTAAACTTAACACTTTTTGAACGTTTTGTACCTATTTTCAAACGGCAAACTAGCGATAATATACTGACTCGGCCTAGCCCATGATTCCCTGGTTTCACACTTAAATTGGCAGAATTGATGTCTGAAGTTGCCATTATCTTGTGGAATAATAACATTGAAGTGTGCTGATTGGCTCGAGCTCAAAGACAATTTTCTTCTGCTGACTAACGCCAACACCATGTTCTATTCCCCTAGCCTGGTTACCAAACCTATTATAGCTCCGCATTTGCGGAGAGGCATGATGTAGGACTCGGGAGCTATAATAGGTTTGGTAACCAGGCTACTATTCCCCCCCCCCCATCTAATATTCAAGCAGATGTCGGGAGGCTAAATGGTAACGCTTTCCTAGCTGCCCGTTTCTGTCACAGACCGTCTGCCACCATGTTTAGGGAGGCGATTTGTAAAAGAAACCGAAAGCTAGGAAAACATTTAGACTCCCAACATGAGCTCATACAGATCGTGTTCTATCCAGGGATCTTTAATTAAAGCAGAATGAACAACGTTCGGGTCACTTTCTATGAATTCAGGGGTGCCAAAGAATTAATCAGAATTTTACGGAATTCATACGATCCTTACTAGAAACACACGAAGTTTACGGAATACAAACTATCCATTACGCTGAAACATACGATCCTTACTAATTTGGGGTCATTTGGTGAGGCTTGCCGTCGCGATCACCGGTTCCACCGTTTCCCAGCATCGCTCTGCTATTTGATCTAAAATACAGGCTACTATGTCGTAAAAGAAGTCCGCATAAGTGCAGTTTGGGGTTTAGCAGAGCAGGACAAGCCCTTAAAAGTCTTCGAAACCAAGATATTGGAGGGAGAACATCGCTATGATAGTCCGCCATCTTGTTAGTAAATTAGTAAGGATCGTATGTATTCCGTAAACTTCGTATGTTTCCTATTAAGGATCGTATGAATTCCGTAAAATTGTAGAAATATTTTAAATTCTTTGGCACCCCTGGAATTCGAACCCTGAACCTGTACCTATATGTATCCCCAAAACTATGTGGAAACTATGTGCGTAATAGGGATGGCATATTTCTAAGCCGATTCCCCCCTTTCTTTAAGATTGAATTTGTCTTCGTAATTAGACAAAGAGCATTATTAGACAAGGCCGTCATGCACACCTGTGTAAAAATCTCATTTGGCATGGTCCCTTCAAGATGGTGGTTTGGTGCGACGAGAATTCTCTGCGACTCCTGTCATATTTGTGCAACTTTCACGGTACCTTCTAGACTTTTTATCGGAGGAATGTCTTTCTTACGTGTACATTAGGATGTTGGGAACTTTTCGCGGTAGAATTATGCCGTTCTCGTGATGTTTTGAGGAGAAAGTGCGGATGTTCCTGATCTGGTGAATTTTCGAGAAGACAAGAAAATGGCGACATCCGTCATCGTTTGGAGACAGAGCGTGGTTCAAAGGCGACTTCGCTTTTCGTACAAAAACAACAAACTATTTGTCTAACATTGTTCCCTAGCAAACAGTAAGAACAAGTCATATTTAACAGCTTCTATTCAGAAAGAAATTATATAGTTATCTAAGTTCCAAGTGGCCATTCCCTATTTGAGACAAATTTCCTTTGAAAGAGTCAATTTTGCTGCGCATTTTTAAAAACATTTTCTATGTGCGGTGTGCTTGTAGTGTTAAGCATATGTATCTTATTTGTCAACTACACAACGCCGTGGGTTCATATCTCTGAAAAAAGAACGCTGTAACAAAAACGTGTTTTTCTCCACGTGGCCCAAAACACCTATTGAAAATTACACGTGTGCATAATTCAGTCCTTAAAACAAACTTAAGGCTGGATGCTCTAAGATTGAACTTACATATCATGTTAATATCAGGGTGGCAAAACTGGAATTTCAACGTCAATGCTATCGTCATTCTTCTAAAGTAGTTAGTTAATAAATTCTATGGAAAACTGAGATCTGTAAAAAAAATGAGACTCCTTTATACATAGCTTATTTTTAAGTTGTTTTAAGTGCTTCAAGTATGAAATTATAATGAAATGTGCTATTAAAAAATTAAATAAGAAATGGCAGTAGATGTCAAACAAATTTCCTCATCCAGAATATATTTTTTTGCTTTGCCACCTTAAAATTTCATTGGATGTTTTTAAAGATCCAGATATTAGATTGCTTTATGGATTAGTTCAGGGCTGATACTAGTAACAGTCTTTGAAACTAATTCTTCTCATACACCCATTTAGTTATCTACATCTGTATCTGGAGGGTCTGCCAGCTGTGCAGATGTTCCTGTCCTGATGAGCCATGATGACACTTGTGATGACAGAGGCACCAGGTGATCAGATCCAGGAGTATCAGGTGAGATAATACTGAATTCAACATTTTACCCACTAGGTACACTTTGTGCTATTTGAAACAAATGTGTAACTTCTAATGTCTATATAGTTAGGTGGCTGCTGACTGATGCAGTAGTGATGACACCTGTCTTAATCTGACAAGACGAGATTGGACCAGACCTGGAGATTTGAAGACCCCAGAAGAATATCAGGTGAGAACAATCTGAATCCTGTATTTTACTTCTTTCCATGTGGTGTCATTTGAGACAAATGTGTAACTTCTAATGTCTGCATAGTTAGGTGGCTGCTGACTGATGCAGTAGTGATGACTCTTGTCTGAACCTGACAAGAGAAGTTTGGACCAGACCGGACCTGGAGATTTGAAGACCCCGGAAGAATATCAGGTGAGAACAATCTGAATCCTGTATTTTACCTACTACTATCCATTTGGTGTTATTTGAGACAAATGTGTAACTTATAATGTTGTATAGTTAGGTGGCTGCTGAATGATGCTGTAGTGATGACTCCTGTCTTAATCTGACGAGTGAAGATTGGACCAGTCCAGACCAGACCTGGAGATTTGAAGACCCCAGATGAATGTCAGGTAAGAACAATTTGAATTCTGCATTTTACCTAATTTATCTGGTGTAGTTTGCAACAAAGGTGTAACTTATATGATTGCGTAGTTAGGTGGCTGCAGACTGACATAGCAGTGGTGACCTCTCTCTAAACATGACAAGATTGGACCTGACCTGGAGATCTGAAGGCACAAGATGAATATTAGGTAAGGAAAATCTTAATTCTGCATTTTATCCATTATTTACTTCACGATAAGCATTTAATACCTGGTGTTTTATATTGATAGGCGACTGGTGAAGTAGTGAGAACTTTCTGAACCTGACAAGACTGGCTAGGAGAAGACCAGTTGATTTGGAGACACCAGAGCATCAGATAACGGCATCCACGGGTGAGGCAAGGCTTCTTAAGATTCATTTTTCTTTAACACTCTAAGATTTTCCCTTAGGTCTTGATAAAATTTAAAGGTTTGAAATGACAAAGTACTTAAGTAACACAAACCATGCAGTTTTATCATTAATATCATCTTTTAGAGATGTTTTTGCATGTCACTTTGAATCAATCTTTATGTAGTTATGTGACTGTCCTGACTGGGAGAAACCTGAGATGACGGGCAACTCCTGTCAACTTAACCAGACCAGA